TCGATGTTGGCATAACTCGTATGCTGGAATCGATGGATGCGTGAGGAAAACGGCCTCTTCCATTCCTTCTCGATCTCTGTATGGAGATCAGGAAGAAAAGGAAGGCTCACCTGAGCTGGAGGGTTATGGCCAGAAAGATAACGCTTATCGAGACGACCTCGCGACGTCACTTTCTTTGCCTGCTTCCATGGCAAGTCAAGCCTCGCCATGGCGCGATCCATATCTTCCAAAACTTATCATACGCAGGGCAGGAGGATTGGGAAGGCTCAGCCTCAGCTTCTTTGCCCTCCTCAGACATCTCCTGCTCTTCCTGGGTCGAACTCAGCAGAGCACTGGCCCCTGGATCAGATGATGTTAAATGAAATAACATTATCCTTCAGCAGCTCACTCTCGTCCACAGCCGACGAGCGCGAGGGGGGAAAGCCCCTCTTTAAACTCATCGGCCAGATCCACCTGCGATCCCCACAAGCTCATTTTCCTCAGCGCCTCAGCAGCGAAAAGAGAGACAAACGAGAGCGGAGCTTTTTCATTGGAAAACGCTCGCAGTGAACGCAGATTGCCCTCTCGAGGACATCGTGTGCGTGCTCCTCGCCCAAACAAAAAAATGCAGAGATCGCGTGTGTCATCAGATGTCAAATAACGACGATACGGATGCACACATCCTCTAAACGCCTTGCTAGTGCTCGCCATAATGAAGGAATAAAGATCGCTCTTACCACGGAAATGCACGCTTCAAACAAAACGGTCAGTGAAGACGAAGAAGAGGATGATGTGTTCTCCCGGTGCCAATTTATACTATAGTCGCACCGGTAGTGACGTCATGGCTGTCGCCGGCCAACGTGTTGTTGGTGTTTTTTCAATGTATGCTTCAGACACGGGTCACGACGAGGAGTTCCCCATAGCGACCCCTAGAGGACGCAGTTCGAAGTTTGAAGGGAACCCTACACTGTAAAAAAAAAAAAAAAAAAAAGTATCCTGCCATTATTACCTGATTTAACCAATAAAGATTCTAAATAGTTCATTTAGATGTTACCATTTTCAGGTTTCCATACCCCAATGAATCTGCAGAGTTATTATAGTATAATTTATGTACTATTATAATATTTATTCATATTTTTATTTTTATATTTTCTAGTATTGTTTTAGTTTTAGCTTACATTTCAGTAATTTTTATTTTGCCTTGTTTCATTTTATTTTTTATACATTTTATTATAAGTATTTTTTCTATATATTTTTGTTTAGCTTCTTTAGTTTATTTTTATTTCAGTAATTCATATATTATATAAATAGTAGGCCTATATTAAAATATATATCTTTATATACAACACAAGTTCTTTACGTTTTTTTTTCAGTTTAATTAATAGTTGTATTTTAAAATTATATGAATATATAAGCTTTTTTAAACAAAACATTTTTTTTACGTTTTAACAATAACAATGCAAATTTGTCACTCAATTTGACATAAAACAACGCATGTCAGATAAATTAGCTCAACATTCATTGTCATTTCAATAAATTAAATAGGATTTCATTGGTTGTGAAGACAAGTACATGTAAGTCACGTAATTGTTTCACGTAATTGTAAATGAACGACTTGTTCATTTAATTTAGTTTTAGTAAATCAATACTCCCAGCCACTGGCGTACACACAAAACAAACAGTTGATTTCATGAACTACAGGTCAATAGATACTACAGTGGTGCCTTGAGAACTGAATGAATTAAAAAGAGTCGAGCCAGCAGCCCCCTTTAAATGATTGTGTCCCTTCTGTCTTATCTGAGGCAGAGGACCTTCATCCCCACACAGATAAAGACACACACTCATTCAAATGGACAGCAAAGCCTCGGCCGCTAGTGCCTTTGTGAATGTTATCACTGTCACAGGGTGTCTGTAATTATCAAACGTTTAGAGGATCCTGCAAACATGAGGGCTCCACTCGGGATGTTACCGGTATGGCAGGTTTTAGTGTGGATGGGGCTTCACTTCTCCTCAGGGTGTTCTGTGAAGAATGAGTCACACTGCCTTCCTGGCTGCTGCCATTACTGATTACATTATAGATTGCTGGGAAATGAAAACCAATAGTGATGATTTAAATAAAAAGGTGGCAGAAGTGGCCATTACTTCATCATGACACATCCTCATGCACACAATATTAAATCATTAGACACATGGTTTAATGGTCTCTTTATAGAAATGACTTTTCCACTGAACAATATTTTTGTGCACAATTATTGTACTATTTTGTTATACAAATATAATCTAAATCAGGCATAATATATAAGGAGACAACTTCTAATTTTTTATTTTGGATTACATTTTATTTTATTATTATTTTATTATTTTGGTTTTTGACAAATACAATGAATAATATAAACAGTAAATGATCATAGCATCTAATTTATTATATCAATTTGCAATGTAGAAAACGGAGAAATAGGGTAATCTCGCCACCTGCTGGAATTTTATGGCAATGTGTTGTTTATTATGTGGCTTAAATCACCAACACAGAATGTATTTAATTATGGGTAACATGTTTCTCTAACCATATTCTCAGACAATTAAACACCTATTTTATAAAGGTCCATCTGAAACAAAATTATCTAGTGGTGAATTCTTGCAAGCAATTTTTTAATTAGACAGCTGTATCTATAGTTATTATTACAGTTATAATAAAACTGTGGTAACGTTTTGACAACCCTGAAAAATAAATAAATAAATGTTTTGGAAAAAAATTGCAGTGGTAACAATAATTGCAGCAACTATATTCTGGTGGACATTATGGTCAGTGGGTTATTGCAAACAAATTAAAAAAATAAATAAAATAAAATAAAATCAATCAGCATACTAATAGCAGTAATTTTTAATAGGGTCAGTAAAAAAAAATCTGCCAACAGAGGTTAGTATGGAACAAAAATGCAGCAGTAGCCTTCATGTGAAAAAACCCTATTCATTAATGAAAATTTAGTTTTAAGTTAATGAATTACCCTAACAAACAAAGCATTGATATTTCTTTTAACTCAGAATTAAGAAGATATATTTATTCCCATTATCTTCAGTTTATCTAATTAGTTTCACTACGCAGTTAACTGGCAGACAGATTTGAGTAACAATCTGTTTCTACACCATCAAATCTGAAGTATATATTGGGTTTAAGGCAAAGAAGATTAAAATGCAGCATGAATCAATCATCTTGTCGCAGGAAAGTGAACTGAGGGGAAATCATTTTAAGTGAAGAACAAGAGAAAAATTATGTCACACCTGTGTGACTCACCAGCAGCTTTCTCTGAGCGAGATCCGGGTGTATAATATCTCCAGCATGAGCTCAAGAATGCTGGCAGGAAATCTTTCAAGAGCATTTCCTGCAACATCTGTTGCTTTTGGTGAAAAACACAGAGCCTGTTTCACACAGGAGGGGATAATGGCTGGGTTTCTCTTTTTTCTTCTGAAAGTGAAAGTGACATGACATGTGGCCAAGTATGGTGACCCATACTCGGAATTAGTGCTCTGCATTTACCCATCCAAAGTGCACACACACAGCAGTGAACACACACACACTGTGAACACACACCTGGAGCAGTGGGCAGCCATTTATGCTGCGGCGCCCGGGGAGCAGTTGGGGGTTCGGTGCCTTGCTCAAGGGCACCTCAGTCATGGTATTGAAGGTGGGAGAGAGCGCTGTACATTCACTCCCCCCACCTACAATCCCTGCCGGTACGAGACTCGAACCCACAACCTTTGGGTTATGAGTCTGACTCTCTAACCATTAGGCCACGACTTCTGCATGTGTGTCTGAGGAAAACAATAACCAGAAAGAGACAGACATACAGAGAAAACAGTCCAATTTCTTTCATTTCTCACACTCATGTCATTCCAAACTCATTTGAGCTAGCTATTACATGGTTTCAGAAGATAGAGAAAATGTTTGCATCCTTTTTCAGACTTGAAAGCATTAGCTTCCATTAATTTTAAACACATGGAGAGCATTTCTTCAGAATTTCTCCTTTGTTTTCCAAGGAAGAAATGAGTAATATTACAGTGATGAACTATTCCTTTAAGACAGGGAGGGGAGGAAAAGGGAAGCGTTTGAGTGGGTGTGGGGGTGTTTGCTTAATCAGAAAATGCATATGCAACACATTAAAATGATAAATACAAATAATAAAAACATCTGTGTACGTTCAAGAAAGTTAGACACTGTTTGAACAAAGAACGTGCATGCACACACACACACACAATAGCCTCAAAACAAACGCAAATTCACATTGACACTCTGCAAGTTTCACACACGGTTTGATTTACCTCAGACCTCCTCAAAGCCTCTGGCACAGATTGATTTTTCACAGTTCGCAGGAGGAGCAAATACTGTGTGCCACAAGCCCACCTCTGGTGAAAGCAAAGCTGTGTCGTGTTTTTAAAGCCCGTGATCTTATTCCTCAGACATGCCGCACAGAAAGCGATGTCATGGTCGTAAGAAAAACAACAAGGAGGTATGTTTTTCCACATGCAATTTACACTACCTTGTAGTATTCTGTATACCACTGTAAAAGGTTAACATAATGATTAAGGTTGGGAACTGTTATTATTCTGAACCGATTCGTTTTTACAGAGGGTGCATTCACCAGCAACTGAACTTTGAGTACGTGAGAACTTTGACAGTGTTTCCTAAACTTTTCTGTGAACAGTCTTACTAAATCTACAGCGAAAACTACAGCAATCAGCCAAGTTCGATTCTTGAACGAATGACTCTTATGATTCAGTTCTTTTGAGTGAATCAAAGCATACGTCGCGACTAGTAAAGAATGATTCTCGAAGGATTGACTCTTAGGAGCCGGTTCTCTTTGGCATATCAGATCATATAGCGCAACCACTGAAATTTGATTCCCAAACGAATGATTCATATGAGTCGTTTTTTTCCCCAGTGAATCAAAACACAGCCTACAGCGTGACCAGTGTACGGTCCGATTTCAGAATGAATGACTCTTATGAACAGGTTCTTTTTAGTGAATCTGAACACCTGTGAATCATTCGAAACAGTTACTTAATTGCGAAATTAAGCACGATTTGACATGACATGGGGTGGGGAAAAATAAAAGATATCATGACAAATTTATCTCCACGGTGTACTAATTCGCAGTTATAAATCGCGGAAACGAATTATTAATTCGTGGCTACGATTTTTCCCCGCATGTCATGTGCGCGGGTCCGTAGCAATTTATTCAACATGTCTGACTCAAAATAGGCCTAAACTAAGAGCGGTTCAGTTCGGAGTCCTAAAACCTGGAAGAAAAATTCGAATTTTCTGCGTCTTGTTCCATCGGAAATGTTCATGTTAGGGTTAAAATAAGGCCTGTTGTTAACAATGAAACCGTGCATGGTCAAATAGACACTGTTTTTAAAGAGTTGCAGGAATACGTGCAAACTTAGATTCTCATGAAGCTTTAAGACATGCCACTACAAGTTAGACTTTCTGAGTATGTTTTCGTTGCAGTTAAAGTACCTGCATAGAGAAACAGAAATATCCTGTAATCAGTGTTGGGCAATCACTTCAAAGGAATGCTTGTGTAATAAAACAAGGACTCAGCCTCTCTGCACATTTTTATAATGCGCAATGCAAATTAAGCAGCAACTTTCACATTGCATCGAAATGCAAAAGAGTACACCACATCTTGAAACCGAGATAAACCGCCCCAAACATTTATTTGCTGCAATTATCATAGTGTTCTGGTACCCACGCTCACGGGAGTGGCTTTATCTAAGAACGAGACAGCAGCGCACCTCACTTGAATGAAAGAAGCTGGCGAACGGACCTCAAGGAAGGTATTCGAGCAAACTTTCTACCCTTCAAACGATTCGTCCTCCGCCATGGCGTACGCAGCGTATTGGTCGAGCATCGTAAGTAACCGTGCCACGATTTTAACTGCACAGAAAACTACTAACTTCCAATATAAAACAAGTCGTAGTGCTCAAAGGAGGGTCCTTTAAAGAGCTGACAAATGTAAACACTTCAGGATTAAGTTGAACTTTGTACTTGTACACACAGGCTCAGTTATTAAAAAAACAGTAGGTTTATATTAGAAGTTGGTCGTTGTCGGATTTAGTGTAGTGAAATTGGGTTTTAATGCGTTTGCATGAATTGTAAAGTTTCCTCAAGTGTTCTGCCGGATACTGGAGTCGCTTTGCAATTGTAAAAGAAAAGAAAGAAGTTAAGAGAATTCAAAGAATGTCATATGGCTTATGAACTGCGTAACATCAAAGTGTCAACCTAAAAGTCAACGAGAAATGACTGAAATGGAGTCTAGTTAAATAGGAATAAATGCCAGAAATAGAGTATTTTCTCAAGAACGGTTGCGTTAATGCTTTTTACTCGGATTTGTAATGTCATAATTCCTCAGATAGACTGTTTAGTCATCACTTTGGGCATAGTAGCATGTTGAACCCTCAGGTTATTGGAAATTTTGACAGGGTGCTAAGTCACTTTTCTTTATTTCTGTCTTAATTTCTTTGTAGAAAGGTGACACTTCATTACAAAAAGGCAATGTTCCTCAGACCTCAAGGTTCCAGGTAAGATAGAATTTACAGTTTCTTTTGAAAATATAATTCAGAACAGAATTCATATATGCTACACTATCAGGGGAAACGGTACAAAGCTGGCAAAAGGTACATCTTTGTACCTTGTGTATCCGTAAATGCTACATATTAGTACCAAAAGTGTACATAATATTATCTTTATAAAGGGTACCGCCCCGATGACAATTTTGTACCTTTTTTTCTGAGGGTTCCCACAGTTATGGAAATCCTGGAAATATTATATTTTTAAAGCTGTGCTTTCCAGGCATGGAAAGTCATGCAAATTAACAAAATCAGGTTAATTTCTATAGAAAAAATTTGTTTTTTAATAGGTATTGTTATCTGCAAAATAATTAGCTTGAAATTGTGCTTTGTGAAAGTCATGTCTGTGAAATTATTATTTTTAAAGGGGTCATATGATGTTGCTAAAAAGAACATTATTTTGTGTATTTGGTGTAATGAAATGTGTTTATGTGGTTTAAGGTTCAAAAAACACATTATTTTCCACATACTGTACATTATTGTTTCTCCTCTATGCCCAGCCTTTCTGAAACATGTCGATTTGTACAAAGCTCATCGGTCTGAAATGCGAAGTGTGCTCTGATTGGCCAGCTATCCAGTGTGTTGTGATTGGCCGAATACCTCAAG